CGTCCCGCGCCGCTGCTGCAGCCTCCCGGCCCACCAGAAGGTGAGAGACACCCCCGAAGCCCTGCCCGGGCTGTCCTCCGTGTCCCCTTCCCTGCCCGTGTCCCTTCCCTGCCCCTTCGCTTTCCCCCTTTGCGTTTTCCGTCCCCTCCCCGTGCGGCTCCGTTTGCCCCGCGGATAGAGCTAAGGGTTCATCAGGGCTGGAAAAGAGCTTTAGGAGAAGCACTGCCGCCGGAGCCCCCGAGCCACATCGCCCACACGACTCTTGGACGTCTCTGGGGATGGGGACCCCACCACATCCATGGGTAAAGCTGTTCCAACGCCTGGCCGCCCAAAATGGGAAAAAATCGTTGGGTTTTGTGCCTTTGGCACCACTTAGCCTCAGTCCAGACAGCCCCTGGATGGCTGTCAGGTGCTATCTCCATCACCTCTGTCCTTTATCCCAGCACCGCTGTTGGTCCCTCGGCAGACCCAGGCTCTCTATAACCTTATCTTGGTAGAATCACAGAGTGTTAAAGGATTGGAGTGGGCCTTAAAGCCATGTCTAGGGATGCCTTCCACTGTCTCAGGTTGCTCCAAGCCCCATCCAGCCTGACCTTGAATACCCAGGGATGGGGCAACCACAACCTCTGCCCTCAGCACCCAGGGTGGATTTGCCCAGGGTTCTTCACCAGCAGCTTGGGGCAGTCCTGGGGATTTGCAGCCTATCTGTGCCCCACAGCACGTCACCCTCAGCTGAGCTGAGGATTTGTGGCTGTCCTGTGTGTGATTCCTGCTGCTGGATCTGTCTGGGTTGTGACACTGCGCTGTCCCTCACAGGTGGCACTGCCAGCACTGTCCCCCACGATGCAGATGGGCACCATCGCACGCTGGGAGAAGAAGGAGGGCGACAAGATCAATGAAGGGGATCTCATAGCAGAGGTATCCTGGGGATGGGGCTGGGCTGGTCTCTCATGAGCTGCACGTGTGGCCTGGGGACTGTCCTTGGCTGAAGACAGATTTTGGATTGCAGATCCCAAGAGATGCTGGTGGGAAGGAGTGGCTGTCAGCCTCTCAGAGCTGGCTTGAGGGCAAACTTCCCTAGAGCTGCTGCCTCAGGGTGATTTTTCCAGAGCTGTGACCCTACAACGGACGGGGAGGCTCTGGGCTCACCATTTCCTGTTCTCTCTCAAAGGTGGAGACAGACAAAGCTACAGTTGGCTTTGAGAGCCTGGAGGAATGTTACCTGGCCAAGATCCTGGTGCCAGAAGGGACAAGAGATGTTCCTATTGGGGCCATAATATGTATCACTGTAGAAAAGTAGGTATTTTCCTATCCCTTGACGTGACTTTCCCCTCTTGGGGCTTCTGGGGTGCCTTGAGTGAAAGACTGAGACGGGGTTTGGGGCTCTGTGTGTTCTTCTAGGCCTGAACATATTGATGCCTTCAAAAATTACACCCTGGATTCTGCAGCAGCTGCTGCCCCCGCAGCCTCAGTGCCTCCCCCTCCAGCTGCAGCCCCCTCCCCACCGCCTCAGCCTTCTCCACAGGCCCCTGGCAGCTCTTACCCTCCTCACATGCAGGTAAGAGAGCACTGCTCCTGCTTTAAGGCTTCTTGCACTCTCTTTCTGCCCCTGGCATTGCTCCTGTGGGGCATTTTGTCATAAAAACTGCCTGGAAAGGGAATTTATTAACTGTGCCACTTCAGTCGTTGTGTGATTAGAGCAGGTGTTGGGGAACATCTCAGAAAGCTTTTTTTAATAAATTTGTTTCAGCATCCCAGCTGCTGGTGGAGGAGAGACTTGTCCCTCCAGGGTTGTCTTGACAAATGTGCTATATCTGCATTATTTGGACAGTTCTGGTATAAAAAGACCTTGTGCTTAGTGTGAATAAGCTCTGCTGATATCTCAGAGCAGAACTGCAGTCTGTGATGCTCTGGTGAGCACACCAAATGTGTCTGTGAGTGACTAATAATGAATTGTGTTTGTGGATGTGAGCTTTTTGCATTGCTTAGGTTTTGAAGTGTATCCAGGGATGGATTTGAGCACTTTGTGCAGAGGGTTGCTTTGACATCCCTTTGAAAATGAAAATCTGGAATATTGAACCCTATCCCACAGATAAAACATGTGGGAACTGATTTGTCTGAGATATTACTTAAAGCCAGTAATAAAAGAATTAATGAAGGACTTCTAAATTTGTGTTTTGGCTGCTAATGTTGCTTTTTCCCATCTGCTTGCTCCCTCTGCCCAGTTTTGCTCCACATGTGCTTGTCAGAGTGACAAGTGACTTCTTCCAGCCTTCCTTAGCAGGGTGATGGCAGTGATGGTTATTTCGATTTATCCATTTCTTGCCCTCTGCTCTTGCTTGCTCTCCTGCTCAGGCCTTGCTAAAGGAAGCCAAAGCAGCACAGTGGGCCAGCTCTGCTTGGCTGTCATGGAGCCAGACCTAGGAGTGCATTAAAGCTGCTTCTTTAGGTTGGCATCATTTCTCAGGAGTTCAGACTGTGTTCCTGAGCCTTCTGGATGGCCAGGATGTGATTGTGTTGTGTTCTGTGCCTTCCCAGATCACTCTCCCTGCTCTGTCACCCACCATGACAATGGGCACAGTGCAGAGGTGGGAGAAGAAGGTTGGGGAGAAGCTGAATGAGGGAGACTTACTGGCGGAAATTGAGACAGATAAAGCCACAATCGGTGAGTCCACAGCCAAGGGTGGGTGAGGTGCCCTTGGGAGGGTCCTGAGCAGCCTCTGCCGGCTCCTGCTGTGGGATAAGTTTTGTTAACATCTCATTTCACTGGTGAGCCAAACACTGGAGCTCCTAAAAACACTTTGATTTCCTCATCAATCCTTCTTAGCAAGTGCATGGAGAGGTTTCCTGCTGGAAAGGATTCTCCTGCAGGGCAAGGCTTCAGCTGCCAGCACTTCGAGCAGCTCTTCAGCTCCTCAGTGTTGTTTCTCTGCCCTGCAGGCTTTGAAGTGCAGGAGGAAGGCTACCTGGCAAAGATCTTGGTGCCTGAAGGAACAAGAGATGTGCCCTTAGGATCCCCTCTGTGCATCATTGTGGAGAAGGAGGCTGATATTCCAGCCTTTGCCGACTACCAGGCTGCTGCAGTCACTGACATGAAGGCACCAGCTCCTCCTCCTCCTCCTCCTCCTCCGGTAAGAAGTCATGGGCAGCACTGGCAAGCCTGATCTGAGCTGTTGTAGACAGGAGTGTTCTGATTTGTGAGTGCAAGGCTGGTCCATGTGTTGAGAAGGGTTCACTGATTTGCCCTCCAAGACCTACAGCAGGTTTCATTCATTCTGATCTTTTTCCCAGCTTGTTGCTTGTGCCAGTTCTGATTCCTCATCCTTGAAAATGGGGAGCATAAGTTCTTTATTTGATTTGGTGTATAGCTCAGCTGACCTCCTTCCCAGTGAGTTTCTGCTTTAATTTCTGGGAGCCTTTGTGCAGATGAGTGATTATCTCTTGACTGATAATTAGATGGGCCAGTTCTCTTGCTGTGAGTTCCACTGATGGCTTTGATTCTTTGTTAAGGTGATGGCAACTCCTGCAGCTGCTCCTCCTCCTCCCCAGCCTGCTGCTGCTCCTGCTCCAGCAGCCCCCACAGCGGGGCCACCCCACAAAGGAGGAAGGGTCATGGTCAGTCCCCTGGCAAAGAAATTGGCAGCAGAGAAAGGAATTGACCTTACCCAAGTGAAAGGTACTTTTCCTTTCCACTTCTTTGCTCTCCCTGTCACTTTTCTGTCCTGTAGATCCATGTTTTCCTGTTCTTCCTGACTGTGCAGCTGTGAACCAGGAGTTGTGTTCAGAGATTTGTCTCTGTTGAATAAAACTGGTACCTTTACAAGCAAAGCCATGTTGGAAATAATCAAAATCTTCTCCCATTTTCCTTTGCCCTTTTCAGGTACTGGACCAGACGGCAGAATCACCAAAAAAGATGTGGAGTCATTTGTGCCATCAAAGGCTGCTCCAGTGAGTAGGCTGGAAATCTGTGGGAATGGATGTTACAGGAATGGAAAGGCTCTGTGTTCCTGCATGGAACTGGCATTGCTGGATTGTGGGGTGGTGGTGACTGTAAGGTTGTGAAATTTAACCTGTCCTGGGGGTACTGGAGAGCTGGAAATATCTGCTGCTCTCACAAGAGGCAGCTTGGCCTCAGCACTGAGCTGCAGTTGCTCTTTGGGTGTTTCTGGGAGTGATGCTGGTGTTCCCTGCAGGCTGCAGCTCCAGGGGCAGTTCCTGCAGCAGCACCCGAGGGGACCTTCACAGACATCCCCATCAGCAACATTCGCAGGGTAAGATTTCAGTCTTTCCCAAAATTGTCGTTTCTAGCTGTGAACTTTCCAGGCTGATTTGTGTTCCTTGCTCTGCACACGCCCAGGTCATTGCTCAGAGGCTGATGCAGTCCAAACAAACGATACCTCACTACTACCTGTCCATCGATGTAGACATGGGAAAAGTATTGGTGCTAAGGAAAGAACTCAATCAGGTGAGGTCTGGCATCTTAGCCTGGAAAAAAACACTCTTTTCAGTGCCTTTTGTGGGTCAATTTCTGGACTGTCTGTGACAGAATGAGATTTTCCTCGTCTCTTCTGATTCCTGACTTCCCTAAGGGGCTGTTCTGAGCTCAGCTTGGTGGTGATTCCTTATTTCAGGTGCACAATAAAAGGATAGAAAGCTTCTTACCAGAAAGAAAGGTAAAAAAGTTCAGGCAGAACAATAATTCTAAGCCAAGTTTGAGGAAATCTAAACATTAAAAAAATGAAATTCTTAAATTATGAAGGAGATGCTTTCACCTTCTAAATTATCTTTGAGTTTTAATGTCTGCAAGTGGTGTGATTGTTTTGTGATGTTTCCTGTGAACTGCAGTGGCTGCCCTCATTAACTGGGGTGATGTGCAAGGGACAAACTGACACCTGGAATCTCTTTATTTGCAGGAGGTCTCAGATAACATTAAACTTTCTGTCAATGATTTCATCATTAAAGCTTCTGCTTTGGCGTGCTTGAAGGTGCCTGAGGCAAATTCTTCATGGTTGGACACAGTTATTAGGCAGTAAGTTTATGGCACGGTCAGAGCCAGGAACTTCCTTTGTTCATGGCAAAACAGCTTCTGCTGGGATTTGAGGGAGGGGGAAAATGGGATGTCAAGGTGAGAGGTTTTATTAAAGTGATAAAATCTTTGAGTCTAAGGCTGGTGGTCAAGGTGAAATAATTATTGCAAATTAATTACTTTTGGGTTGTCTGGAATGCTTTGAATTTTTTTTGTTTGCTCTCTTGCTGGAGTGATTTCAGCTGCTGTGTGTGTTGCAGGAATCATGTGGTGGATGTGAGTGTGGCTGTCAGCACCCCGGCAGGGCTCATCACCCCCATCGTCTTCAACGCTCACATCAAGGGCCTGGCTGCCATCAGCAAGGACGTGGCTTCCCTGGCAGCCAAAGCCCGGGAAGGGAAGCTCCAGCCTCACGAATTCCAGGTGAGACACTCGTGGTGTTGTTCAACTCCACTGCTCTTGGCTTGTTTAAAAGGAGCAAAGGCTGTTTTGTGATGTTTGAGCCTTGTTGAGTAATCACAGAATACCCTGAGTGGGAAGGGACCCACAGGGATCGTGGAATCCAACCCCTGGCCCTGCACAGACACCCTCAAATCTCCCCTGGAGCTCTGGCAGCCTTGGGGCTGTGCCCAGCACCCTCTGGGGGAAGAACCTTTCCCTGACCTCCATCCCAAATTCCCCTGGCACAGCTCCAGCCCTCCCTGCATCCTGTCCCTGCTCACCAAAGAGCCTCCCCTCATCAGGAAGCTGCAGACTGGGATGAGGTCCCCCCTCTCCTCATATTCCCACATAAAACAGTTTTTGTGAGTTTCACCATGAATGTGTTTGTTTTCTTCTAGGGTGGTACTTTCACGATTTCCAATTTAGGAATGTATGGGATTAAGAATTTCTCTGCCATAATCAATCCACCTCAAGCCTGCATCCTGGCAGTGGGGTCCTCAAAAGAAAGACTAGTGCCAGCTGATAATGAGAAAGGGTGAGTTTTCATCTGATCCTGAACTCAAACCCTGAAATCATCCCTAGGTTGTTTTTTGTTTTTTTTCAAATCATTAAACAATGATTAGGTTATCATTAGATAATGATTTAAAAAACCCTAAATGTCTCGTTGACACAGTGCTTTCAGTACTTGCTTAAATTTGCATTTAAGGAAAACCTAAAGGGTGGATGCTGTATATAATATCCCCTTGCCTGGAACTAAAATGGTTCTTTTCTTTTGTGTGGGGCTGTCCTTGTGCTGCAAGGAAAGCTGAGCTCCCTGCCCTAAGGGGAACACTCTGGGGTGTTTTTAGTGCCTGTGGGAAGCTCCTTCCTTAGTTTTCCTCAGAGAAGGAATGAAGATGATCCACTCCCCAGTGCAACTGGGGGAAAATGTCTGTCACCAAGCAGCAGCTGCTGTTCCTGGCTCTCCAGGAGTAGCTTTTCTGCTGTGTGAGTGGCACTGTCTCGCAGAGGAGCGTGTTAACCTTTCTTTTGTTGTTTTTCTAACAGCTTTGACGTGGCCAGCATGATGTCTGTCACCCTGAGCTGTGACCACCGTGTTGTGGATGGAGCAGTTGGAGCACAGTGGCTTGCTGAGTTCAAGAATTTCCTTGAAAAGCCAGTAACCATGCTGCTATAATTTAACCATGCAAAACAGAATTTTCCTGGGTCACACTGTTGTGTTTTAAACAAGCTATTTAGACTTTAGTGTTCAGACTTTGAGAGAGTTCTTTTCTTTTTTTTTTAATTTAAAATATGTATTATATTATCTGGTAATTTTACCAGTCTGTACAGAAAAAAAAAAAAAAGTTTGCAAAAGTGCTTTTCAGAGCAATATTACAGCTACACTGTATTTTTATACAGTTAGTTAACTTGCAAACTCTTCCAAAACAGAGTTAAGCATCCCAGATTAAAAAGTAAAAACCAAACCTCTAAATTATCCTGGCATTGTGCCAGCTGCTTCTAAACTCGGGTGCCCAGGGGGTGCATACCAACAGATTCATGACCTCAGTGTTGTCAGAGATTGGAATTTCAAACATCTCTTCACAGGGGTGCAGATGGGATGGCCACAGAAAGGTACAAGGAGGAGGGGAACTCATGCATTGTCCTGTTCCTGGGGTGGGGAGATGGCCCAGCACTGAGGGACTGAAGTGCCTGGGGATAGTGTCTGAAAGGCCAAGCGCTGCTGGTCCAAAGCCTTTTTGGAATTTGGCACTGGCTGGGACCTTCTCAGCTGCGTGATCCCTTTGGAGCTCTTTAGGTGAAAGAGCAGCGCTGTCTGTGGGGTGGCAGCTCTCGGGTACCACAGGGAATGTGCTGTCTGCTCATGGACTCTCACTGACATCTGCTTTTCCTTTGGAAACTGTGTAGCTGCTGTTCCTGTGGCTGAGTTAACGCCATGGACATAAATAACTGCTTTGCAGAACGTTCAGTGTGTGTTGGGAGCGAGTACAGACAAATCCCACACGCTGATAATCCCACCAGGGGACGTTAATCATGTGAGGACTGGGATGTTTGGGATTTTTCATTTCAGGCATTCTAACATAGGAAGCTCTGACTTAAGCCACTGGAATTGCAGACCTTCCCTGGATTGTCTGTGTTGTCCAGCCTCAGTAAAGCTGCAGAATGTGCTCTCCATGTACATATTGTATGTAAGGTGCTTCTCTAGTCTGTTGGACTCGTGTCCAGTTATCCCAGGCATTGTATCCTGCAAAGGCTGCAGTGCTGAACATTCTGAAATTCCAGTTTCCACATGGAAATGTTCATGTAAAAAAAGGACAACCGTGCAGCAATGACAGAGTGACCAGGAGAATTAAATAGGGGGGCAGAGTTGGGAAAAAAGGAAGAATATGTTCAGGCTGATCCTGTTATTCTGTATATTGCATTAAGTACTGTCTCCTGTAAAATTAAAATACTTCACTGAAGATATTGAAAGAAAATACTGTGGAAATTAAATATTTTTGCGGGAACTATTTAGTGTCTGGTTGCTGTGATGCCTTGCTTAAACAAAAAAAAGTGCATTAAGGTTTTGGATTTTCTTGAATGACCTGAAGTACCCTGATTCCAGACTGGCTCTAGTGAACCCATGTTCCATTAAATGTTTGGAATTGACAACTACTAAACCACGTCGCAGTGCTTTTTCTCTTCAGTTGTGTGTGGCTTTCACAGTGAAACTCACCCTATTAACCTGAAATGTAATCACAAATCTTCCCAGACATTTGCTTTTTGCTGTCTGCAGCTTCCTCTCTGCGCTGTGCACCTGTGGGGCTGTGTGCGATGAGATCCTCCAGCATTAAATACTCAGAGAGCTGCTCTAACCATGGGAATCCTGTCCATTTATTTAACAAAAACATCACCACTGTTACTGCTGTCCCTTGAGTAGTTCTTTACTACAGCAGATAACAACTACTGGAACTAAATATTCAAGTATTGAATATTTACCGTCTTTACTCATTAGTTTTGTACGTTTGGTGCTGCTACTATTCCTCCAACCTTCCTTTTGTCCTTGCATCTCTAAAGGCATTCGAGATATTCACCCCTCATGAGTAAAAAGTGAATTAAAAACACCCTAAGCCCCCCCACCACCAAAGATTTTCACTCTTTTGTTGTGTAATCTGCCAAATCTTCAAGAAGTTTCGGTCATTTTCCCAAGCTGTGCTTCTGCAGGAGTATCTTAAAATAGCTTTGCTAAATGCTGGCTAAGAATATCCATGGTTAAGAAAAACAATTAATTAAAAAAGTAATTAAGACAATAAATTATAAATAAGATTTAAAATTGGTTAAAACTATTATTTAAAAATGAATTTAAACCATTTTTTAATGGTTAATTACTTTAAGTTTTATTACTTAACTAATAAAATTTTAAGTAATTGGAACTATTTACGAATCATAGCGTTTCCAGCATTACCCAGCCACAGCGTTTCTGGGAATTTTTGCGGCCAGTTTGGGGTATTTTTTCCCCAAAAGAGGATTTCTTTAGAGCTGCCGCTTGCTGTCCCCGGCCCATCGCGGTGTCCCTCAGCTCCGGCACCGGGCGGTGCGGGCCACGGGGGCAGCGCGGGGCTGGATCCGGGGGAGAGCCGGCGGTACCGGGGCGGTTTGGAGCTGTTTGGGGCGGTTCGAGGCTGTTTGAGGGCGGTTCAGGGCTGTTTGTGTTTTCATTTCATTTCTGGGGCTGTTCGGGTCCGGTTTGGCCTCCCGGCCATGGCGGCGCCGTTGCCTTGGAGACGGCGCCGGAAGCGGCGCGC